TCTTCTTCTTCTTCTTCTTCTTCTTCTTCTTCTTCTTCTTCTGAATGAGGTCATTAGCAGCCGAGACCCACTGACGAGCCGAACCCCTCGTTGCTGTGAATATCGGCAAAGCATGTGTCCGGACTTTTAGCCAGCATCTTTGCTTCTATTGCGGTAGATAATTACGTAAGTTATACGCGTGACTGTTTGTTGGCAGCTTGTGAATATAGCGCGGTTGTCCCGTAGTGGCTGGTGGATTTCGGCCCACCTGCCTGTAGATCCTTATAAACGACACCGTTGTTTAAACTAAACTAACTAAAATAAAATAAAACCAAACTAAAACAAATAAAACTTAATAATAAACTAAGAACTAAAGTAAATAATAAACTTCACTGAAATAAGTAATTAGTTATGCATAGTAAACTACGAAGTTTTTTATAAGGAACCCTTGCCCCCTAGAATATAATGATCCACTCCAAGTTCGAAATTAATTTCTGAGGAAATAAAAAAGCTGCATTAATTTCACTTTTCGACCAGTATGCACCCTTTATGGTCTGCCGGTGTCCTGTGTAGGTTGTGTGCCTACTTTTATTCAGGGTGAATAAATGACGGTTTTTTTTTAAATCGGCAAGACTGTCTTGTAGAGCCGCTTAGATATCTATATCCCCCGCCCAACTGTCTTACGGAATTGGTGGTTGAACATTTAATTGTTGGTTAAAGAGTGTAAATGAATGGGTAATTGTGTCCAAAGTGGCCAAAGAATATTAAATTAAAGCCACGCATAGTTTTGTTTAATGAGCTAAATATAATCAACTCCATCAACATACACACCCCTGTTGGCCAAAATTGATGGAAATTTGACCTTATATTGGCGGAGTTTAACGAAAAAGGGAAAGTCGAGCTATTGTAAAATTTAAAAATAGGTTATTATTATAATTCAAAGGCAACTAGGACCTCTGAAGGCAGTCCTATTAAAAAATATTTGAAGGATACTTTGAAAATAAAGTCTATGTTTCCATTTCTCCGTTTTGCAAAAGCCTACCTCTTCACCCCTCTGTTCATCCCTAGCGGGTGTTGCGCTCTCCATGAGGCTGAGGAAGGCAGCAGCCACCTCCTGTGCTGCCGCTGTAATGGGGGAGAAGGGAACCGCCTGCCGACCGCCGCCTGCTGCTTCTGCAGCCTGTAATTGGTCCAGCACCCGCACATTCTGCATCAAGCGTTGCACGTTAAGGCCGATGGT